TATATATATATCCGGATCTTACACCATCCAAGGATTCATTCACCTAAATTCTGTTGCTCATTCCCCTCCAGTGGGGTTATACATTCATCATTGCTATCAGTTACCCTTCCTCCATCCCCTTCTCTTTCAAGACCTTACTGAAATGCAGCATTGTCAGTGAAAGAATAATATCCATGCATCTATAAGGAAGGTCGTGATTCAAATGTTACAACTGTATTTTCATGTGATCAGCAACTGAAAGAAGTATTGAAAGAAGTCCAAACTGCACTGAAACCCTGGGCAAGCACAAGCTTTCCGGAACTGACAGAACAGCCATTGGGATGTTTCGACAAAGGGCTGCAAGGCAGGAAGCACTAACTAGTCAATGCCCAGACATGAGGGAACAGCTCCCTGGGCAACCAATGGAGAGATACGCAGTGTATCTATTCCACAGGAAAGGGATCCAACAGAATGCAGCAATGATGGAACAGCCTCATTAAGGTCACAGGCCAGTACATTTTTGCTGAAAATAATTTTACAATAGTTGCAGCACCACATGGGCAGAGAATGGTCAGAAATTCTAGTCTGATTCCAAAAAGAACATGGAAAGAGCGATGTCATTGCTGATGTCAGATGGATCTTGGCTAGACTCAGAGAATGCCTAAAAGATGTTGACCTGTGTTTTACTGACTATAAAAAGGCATTTGAGTGTGTGTATCATAACAAACTATGGACAACATGGTGAGAATGGAAACCTCACCTGGACACTCACCAAGAGGCACTTGTTCAAAGAGAATAAGGGAGTAGTGTGTGGTCTACATTCAGGAAAGACCTATCAGGTTTGAATTTTTTTTTAATACCGTACTTATTCATTCTGTATGCTGGGAAAAGAAATCCAAGAGGTTGGGCATTATGAGGAATGATATGGCATCCATATTGGGGGGAGGCCCATTACAAACCTACCCTATACAGATGAGACACACTTGCCTGGTGAAAATGAAGAGGACTTTTAGCACTCGGCGATTAGGATCGAAGACTTTAGTCTTCCAGATAGATGATACCTCAGCATAAAGAAAACAAAAATACAAGCAATATCACGATAAACAGCAAAAGCATTGATCAATTTTTAATTTACTTGGATTTTACAAGGATTTAATTTTGTTTGTATGCCCAATCAATGCTCATGGAAGCAACAGTCAAAAAAATCAAACAATGTATTGCCTTGTGAAAATCTGTTGCAAAAAACCTTCTCAAAGTGTTGAAAAGCAAGGATAATCATGCAGGCCAATTATCATGTATTTGATTAATTGCATGTTGATTTTAATTAATGTAATAAGCAAGTGTGAGCCCACCAACCAAAGAAAGCCTAAGCCTGTAAAAGTGACCATCTGCGTTTATTGCACCCATTTCCCACTTCCTCCCGTCCAAAGTAGTTATCTTCCAGGGTCTGGTGTTCATGATTTCTTTGCTATTATTGCTAAGATTATTACCATGTGCAGGCTCACACTGTAGGAATTCATTGTTTTTATATTAGGGTTTGGATGAATATATAGTGTCTTATATATTAATGTAGTTTTTATCTTTAGAAAAATGTTTTGCAGTTTTATATAATCTCCTCAGATTTAACTCTTTTGGTTTTTACAATTCAATGGTTTAAATATATTTTGAAGAATTGTGTAACCATCACTAACTAAATTTTAGAAAATTTTCTTCGTTCTTATACCCATTCTTATTAGCTCCCCAATACCCGACAACTTCATCTCCCTCAAGAACTGTTAATAGTTACTGTGTCTATGGATTTACCTATTCTGGATTTCGTATAAAGAAAATCATACCAAAAAACCAACACATACTGCAAAATGAAACACAGGAAAACTTCGTTCCAAGAGAAAGTAGAAAGAAGATAATATAAACTGGAAGAAATTAAGAATGGATCAAAGGGGAAAACAAATGATAATATGTTTTAAACTTTAACCTAACTTTATCAGAGGTAATCCACTTTCCAATGCACTTTGTCTGAAGGCAAGATAATCCACATCCTTGGTCAATGGTCTAAGGGAATTCAATAAAGACAATCTTCGTGGGGACTCTGAATATGGATTTTGGGGCTCTCACTGTCATCCATAGCATTCTGCAAGCCAGGTGTTCAGAATTTAAGCTCTAATAGAATTCTCTCCTCTGATCTTGGATTTTATTATTTACAATTCTCAGATCACATAAGATGATGTGCTCCTTTCTTATGAACATAGCTGACAGCTCACTTAGATGGCTGCTTGTTTTAAAATAAGCTTTTAAGACCCAAGACATTATTCTTTCTGATAGTTGGGACCATCTGATTTCTTTACCACACTTTGCTGTAGCACCCATTTCTTCAGTGATCGTTTCATGAGAACTGTAAGAATTAATTTTTCATAGATTAAGGTTTACAACTAAGTGCATGATCAAAATAGATTAATGTATTTTATATATATATATATATCCCTGATTAACTTTAGAGGCAGCATTTTCAACATGTTTAGAAATAATTGAAGTAATCTCCATGAGATAGTTGGTGATACTAATAATAATATTATGAATCTAGCCCAGGAGTCAGCAAAGTCTGGCTCAAGAGCCACATGTACATACACATGTCTCAGAAGTAAACTTTAAAATGAAAACAAAACTATCCATTTCATTTATAAAAAATTGAAAGGATATTATTCAGATAATGATAACTTCATTTGTTTGTAAAAATATATGGCTCTCAAATAATTGTTAAATTATTGTGAGGGGCAGGATTGAATCTTCTGTCCCAAAAGTTTGCAGATCCCTAATCTATTCAATAGCATAGGCTTTAAAGTCCTATTGAGTAAAGGATCATACATGTGTAAAAAATCTTTTTAAGTTAGCATATATGGGATGCTCACTTACACAGGTTAGAAACTGAAGTAACTAAACACCATTTAAGAAAGAAATGAGGGTTAGACACTAAGGTAACCTTTTTAATAACAGTCATTCACTAAGAAAGTTTGC